ATGGACCTTTAACCTTATAACTAAAATTTTGATCTAGAAAAAAATTTCATCACAGCTTGAAAGAGCATCACAAAATTAGTAATATTCAGAAGTTTCGTCGCGAAATGTTGTAAAATGCGGATAATATAGCCTTGCGAAGTTTGCAATTTTCAGTCAATTTAGATTACAAACGGGAAATTGATACCCAAACACCCGATTTGGAATATTACTTCGGAATATTACTAATTTTGTGATGTTCTTTCAAGCTGTGACGAAATTTTTGTCTAGATCAAAATTTTAGTTATAAGGTTAAAGGTCCATTGGGTTAACCATATAAAACTACTCTAAAATGACCGAGGAACAATCCAAAATTGTTTGAAATGTTTTTAATTACTTCTAAATTTCAGACAGCAACCAGAAAGGACGTTTGCACCCATATTCATCGCTTACTCTCAAGATAAAAAATAGAATGACACCTCTCGTGACGTAACATGCATATCCTCAACAATCCAAGATGGCGAACAGCTCACTTTTTTCAGTCTAAATATTTTGAAAACTAAGCAAGATATAAACAATCTGTAATAGAGTTTAATATACAGGGTGTATAAAAAACAACTGAACAGATTTGAAATTGCTCTCAATTTCGCAAAACACCTATTTGTATCCTTTTTTTATACATATAGCTTCTTTGGGTACTTATAATGTAGAATAATGAAAAAAATTTCTCGAACTCAAATTTTGTGAACCAGGGAGGTGTGTCTTTTCCAACAAACCAAAAATGGCTCGCGCACAAAATTTAAAAGCTGTAATCATATTTCGAGTTAATAGATGGAAACTTTGTCGGGTTTTTAATTACTGTACAAAATTTCAGACAATTTGGTTTAGTTTAAGCCCTTTAACTAGTCATTTTGTTCTAAAAAGTCAGCCTTTCGCATGCTTAATTAATGCATATTGCTGACATTTGCATATTGCTGACATATGCAAATTAGGCAAATGCATTAATTAAGCATGCAAATAGCTGATTTTTAGGAAAAATGTAACTTTGCGTGAATAGTTAAGGGGCTTAAACTAAACCAAATTGTCTGAAATTTTGTACAGTA